TATAATATATGAAAAAAATACATGAAAGTAAATGAGTTTTCTGTTTAGTGTTGTAAATTTTATAAAAACTAAAATAAAAAACTAAAAAGTACAATGATACTATGTAGAGTCTAAATTATTTGGTTTATTTTTACAATTTTGACAGTTTGAATGAAATGCCCAATCCTAATTTTCAATGCAAATGTTGACATATTTATATCAACAAGAAAAAGAAAAGCCACAAAATTGGGTAGATAGGTATAAATACTGATTTCTACCATAGATATCATTCAAAATTTAAAATGTTTACAAGTTTTTGATGTAGATTTATTCATTCAAATCCGTAAACATTAAACATTTCAACACATGCTACAAGAACCTAGCCCATAGGGCCAAGTGGCCTCTGCCACTTTGGTAAAGGTTCACCTGCTTGCTTCTCGGACAATGGTTCAATCCGATCCCATAATAATTGTTCCAAAAAAAAAAAAAAAAAACACATGCTACAAAATTTTAAAATAGATTTGCCATATTTAGAAACTTCTTATTTCAGTAGCAACAGAATATCATCATGATAATCCTATGAAAGGCAGCTCCCCTTATGCATGTTTCTCCATTAGTTGCCTAAACAAATCTTCAGGTGCTGAAATCATACAAAGAAACAATATAAGAGCTAGGAAAGAAACAGAATAACGAACATAAGAGTATAACATATAATTTTGAGTTATATATGAGTCAGTTTAGTCTTTCTTACCAGGCAAACCAGTAAAGTTCTTGTATTGTTCAAACCCTTGTCGAATCAACATTTCTGTGCCATAAACAATTACAGCTCCAGTTTCCTTTGCTTCTCGTAGGAGTCTAGTGTCTTTCGGGGTGTAAATGGCATCAAACGCCAAGCAATAATGTTTCAAGGCATGCTGCAACATTGAAAAAATCATGCCTTCTTTAGTGGGTGACTTAATACTAGAAATATTAACATGTAACATTCAATTATATTTAGTTTTTATGAATACCAGTGATGAGGAAAAAAAAAAAAAACCTTAGGAAGGGGAGTATCATCAATTTTTGGCTTCATTCCAACCGATGTTGTATTTGCAAGAACCATTCCTTCTTCTGGATGGAAGTGTTCTACTTCTGCTAGAGTCATTGCTTTTCCTCCAACTTTGTCAGCGAGCTCCTTTGCTCGTTCTAAGGTGAAATTTTGAATCCCAAATCGTCATTTTAGTTAGTGAAATTAACATTTAAAAATGATTTACCATAATTGCATTAAGATGAACATCAATATATGGTTATTATTACCAAAGGTTCGATTAGCAACCACAACTCTTGCTCCCTTTTGTGCAGCACCATAGGCAAGTGACTTCCCTGCTCCACCAGCTCCTAAGACTACAAACAACTTTCCAGCTAAGGGTGAGCTACCAGAGGGGATTGCACCGTTCAATCCTGTTGTAGTGAACAAGTAAGACTAACAGTAACAAAAGCAAATCTTGATCTACAAAAATTCATAGTTTTATTGCTTGTGATCTGTGGAATAAAAAACTTATTAACCTCGTAATCCATCCTCAATGGCAGAGATTGCACCAATGTAGTCGGTATTGAATGCGATTAGCTTCCCGTCTGGTCTCCTAACAATGTTATTGATGGCCCCAATTTTCTATAATTACAAGAAAAAAAGTTCAATGACTAAATGGAATATATGATTCTAAAGAAAAGAAAACCACGTTAAAGATAATTTAAGTACCTTTGCAATTGGGTCAATGTCATTCATACATTTTAGTGCAGCCTCCTTGTGTGGAATTGTGCAGCTGCATTTTAATCAGATTGAATTATTTCTGCAACTAGACTTCGGTTTTTAATCTCTCTCCTAAAATCGTCATTTAAAAAGAAAAAGAAGAAGAAGAAGAAGAAGAAGGATGGAGTTACAGTATACCTGCATCCGGCAAAGTCAGTGGAAGAGTAAGTGTTGAAGAACTTCTCCACATCATCCACAAGGAAATGCAAATAAACTGCATTGAGGCCAACAGATTTGAATGCTGCATTGAAGAGCAGAGGACTCTTGCTATGCCCAACAGGCTTTCCTATTATGCCATACACCTTGGTATCTGGCCTTATAAGCCTGAAGTTGTACAAATCTAGCAAGTCCTTTGCTGTTGGCTGTCCTGGGGCTGAGATTGCACCTGCCTCCAATGCACCATAGGTTAAGTATCCACCAAATTTTGGACTGAGCAATCGTGAAATCAACCCCCTCTCCCCCATAACAATTCCTATTGTCGGAACCTACAATATTGACCACATATTATGCATCATTAGGAAGGACATGATGATTATAAATAAGGCATACAAGTCCAAATGACCAATTTGTTCATTTGTAATTTCATTCTTGAGTTATGAAATATGTGTTAGTACTTACTTGAGAGTGTACAGTTATTTGGAACACACGAGCACAATCTGTGATGTCTAGAGCTGTTGTTGCAATTTTCACTATGTCAGCTCCGGTAGCTTGAATTCGTGCCACGAGATTGCCAATGGCCTCTGTAGATGGAGTGTTATGAAAATTGTGGGAAGAAACTATGATTTTGCAGGTATCGGGCTTCTTTGCATAGACTGAATTAATGAAGTCATGAGCAACCTAAAGAATTACATAGATTATGTGAATCATAAATGATATAAGAATGAAAAGATATCGTTAGTTTAATTATTGAAATGCTAGAATTTCTTCAGGAGTTTATCATTGAGACAAACCTCAAGTTCAACATCAATATAGTTGGCTCCAAATTCCATTGCTAATTTAAGTGCTTCCTGTCTCTTGGCTTCATCACCTTCGTATTGTCCTCCTTCCCAAATTGGCCTAAAAAGTGAAAGTAATCGGCATCAACAAACACACGCACAATTTTAATGTAGAGAGAATGGTTTTTTTTTTTTATTAAAAAAAAAAATTGGCTGGATAATGTTTTGATTTATTCATGAAAAATAGAAGGGGAGGAAAGGAAATGTTTTAAATATAAAGAAAAATGATTTTTTTAACATGTGTTCCTAAATACATGTTTATGACATAATTATTTTTTTTAATATTTAGTAATATTAAAAATAAAAAAATTAACATTAATTTCTTCACTAATACCACCGAAAATTATTTTAATTAAATAATTAAATAAATAAAGATCAAATTTTATTTTTCAATAATAATAAATATAAAAAGGGTGTAATTAACTTGTGTCTACCTAATAGAAGCCACATCAGCATAGAGGTAATAGTTAACACTGTTATTGCCACACGTAAGAATTTCTGTTAATTGAGTTTGACAGAGGAATGGTGGTTGGCTTGTATTTCAAAACTTGGGGATTTTAGTACAGTACGTAATGATTTATTGGTCATCCAATGAAAAAAATGTTTATACACTTAAAATTTAGGTTTTATCCCTAAATTCTTCTTTTTCGAAATTCCTTAGCATCAAATAAAAAAAAAGCTTGGGGATTTTAATGACTTCTTTGAAAGTACAATGACGGAAGCGAACACTTTTGACAAGTCTAAGGATTTTTTGTTGGCTTTAAATTAGGAATATCAACAAATCCCGTGGGGTCGATAAATCTCTTTCCATCCTCGTCCTTTTGTATGATGAGAAGGGAATCTCTGCATGGATTTTTAATAAAGATAGATTTTGCTCCACATCTTCGTTTTTTCGTAAGGAATAAAATACTCACCAATTAATATAAAAAATAATTTTTTTATAT